TTAATGGATTATTAAAGATAATTGTGCATTTTGCTTTAGAGGATGATGGTATCACACTGAAAAGCCCAGTCTTTGGAGTTAGTACAGAAGTGAAACTATTGTTCCACCATTTTACTTGCTGTAGAACCTAAACCAAATTAGGCGATGTCTTTGGTAAGTTCCTCATGAGAAAAATTAGGTAACAATTTATATTCAAAGAATTAAATGAGGTAATGTCATCAAGGCCATAGGTTATTTAACTAATTTGAATTAGCCAATGAGCATGAAAACAAGTAAAAAAAAAAAATTACATCTGACATCCCCTACTGACTTACCAATAGTGGTACTTCCTAGTGCAATTGTTGAGTGAGGGAAATTTTCTGTGGAACCTGAGATTCAGAGTGGGAAGTGGTTAGCAGCACTCTTATTTTACTACAACACCACCCAGATGTTTAGAAACAGAACAACCCTGAATGGAGGTGCTGTGGTTCTAGTACCTGATGTGAAAGGAGTGCTTCTGCCCCTCACACCTGTAGAAGCTGTAGCCAACACTCCAGTTGTACCTGAAATTAAAACAAATTAAAAAGGATTTTAGTAGCACAGATAATTTTTCATTTAGACCTCTCCTTGATATCTCAAATTGAATTAATTCAAACCTGAACTTGGGACTGTCCTACCATAAACTGCTATTCCTTTAACACTCCCTGTTTCAATAATGATATTATCATCCTAAAAACTGAATGGGTCAGCTTGAAAATTACTGCTAACCAAATCCCCATTTCAAATCATTACCAAATCCTTTTGAAGGTACCCCCAAATTGTGAGGGTCTTTCCATTTCCTTGCACCAGCCACCTTAGTTTATTTGAAACTAGGGTCTCTATGGTGACTCAGCAGTACCCTCCTAACAAATCACTGCTTCCGTTCTCACCTTAAGCCATCCTTCTTCACACTGTATTCTGATTTAAAAAAAAAAAAATGTGTTCCTGGAGTCACTCTTCAATCTCAGACCTTTTGATGGCTTCCCTTAGCTCTTAGGAACAAGTCTAAGATCCTTCACTAGGCCTGCAAGGATCTCATGATCAGGTTCCTTCTTTCTTCCATCATGGCCACATGAGGCACCAACCATCCTGGCTGCCTTCTGCCATCAACTCTCCAACAGCCTGTGGTTTCCACCTAGAACTTCATTTCCATTTCCCTCTCTGCTTAACCTCTTTATCAGACTGAGGCCTACTCATTCTTTGGGACACCAGGTGGAATGTCAATTTTTAACACACTCACCGTATTCTCAGCAATCTACATAATTCTAATCCTACTGCTGATGTACTTTTCTTATTGCTAATCTTAAGAGAAGGAACCTTATCAAACTCATTCACCTCAGTATCCACCCACCTATGATGGTACCTGGCACACAGCTGGCAAATAAAATAATTAAATGAAAAAATATGATAAATGGGATTATTTGATAGAATCCTATTATTATGAATAGTTCCGGTATGGTAGCCTTTTTAAATCACCAAATTTTCTTTGAGAGTTTGAATTTGGGGAACACCTTTCTCTTCTGCACTAGTTAGCATCCATTACCACAAGAGGGAGTATGGTGCAGTAGGTAAGGAAGAGGTCTGGTGCCAGACCTCATAGTTTCACTTCTTCCTAATTTGCACCTGCTAAACTACTCCTTGACTTCCTCATTTGAAATGTTAACAAAAGCACTTATCTCACTGGTTGGTGTGAAAATTAATTACATGTTGTATAACTTAGAATAGTGCCAGGCTGTCCAATAGTATGCAATATTGTTTTCCTAACTTAGTTTTAAAGTTCATTTAAGATTTGTCTCCTGATGGAATCAACACTGTGAACACAATTCCTATTCTTCTGTTATAGTCCTAAACCACATAAAAAGATAAGTCTAGGAACTAGATGATTTTGGTCTAATTTTCTGATTTCCTTACAGAACACTCATTACCATAATTATCAGAAAACCTCATGTTGCACTACAGTCTAGGCCAATAGTGTCCCTTCTTGCTTGCCTGATTTTCCAGGTGTGGTTCCTGTGGTTCTGCTTTCTGCTCCAGTGGTGGATCCATATGGCTCTTTAGTTGTGCCTGGTTAAAGAAGTAATTGATTATGATTTTTACATGGTTAACTTTTATAAAAATAATAAAACTTTCTGGTATTTAATTGTAAATTTAAAAGTTGATGAATCTAGATCAATTTAAGGCAAAATGATCAAGAGATGAAGTCCTTGGTTAAAATTCTTATTATCACAGTTTGGGTCTCAGCCACGCTTCTGTTGGGCCACCACCAGAGCACCAAGCAAGCCATGTATGCTTTGTTCCTGAAGTAGTAGCCCCAGAGCTTGGTGCTCCAACTGTGCTTCTTGGGGCTGGACCTGTGGTAACACTACCCTGCCCCACAACTTCTGGTTATACCTTTTATTTTAAAGGAGCAGGATGAAAACAAACTTCAAGAAGTCTGAGAAATCCATTTAAGATCATAATGTTCTGAAAAGCTCCCATCAATATTCATCAATTTCAGTTCTCAATACCTTTTTTTAATGGTTGTCAATATTTATACAGATTCAAGTACTGGGACTCTGACCAAATACTAAGTTATCCAATCTAATCAAACAAAGCCTTACTTTCTGGTTCTCTTGTAGTTCTTCCTGCCTCATAGGTGGTACCAGCTGATGATGCAGTTGTCCCTGTTCCTTCAGATGATGCACCAGTTAGCTCTGTCACTCCAGGTGAGAGCGTGATCCTTTCTGTAACTCCAGCAGATGGTGAAATTGTCCCTAATGGACCAGATGTCTCTGTCACTCCAACAGACTGTACTGTTTGCCTAGATGCTGTGACTGATGGGCTACTTCTGACCAATCCTGTAAATGAAGGTACTATCAGTAGAATGGGTATAGTAATTCCGTTCATTCCAATGTTCTGAAGTGGGAATTTTTTTATGCAAATAGTTTCTGAATGTTTTCCTAGTGCCATTTTAGCTTCTGTTTAGATTTTTTTAAATTTTTTTGTTTCTCTTAGATATATTAATATGAACTACATTAATGAATTTCCTAATTTTAAAAAATCTTCACTAATATTATTAGAAATTACTATTAAACATTATTTTCCTCCTGTTTGCTCATTTTTTTCTTGTTTATCTAGTTATTCATTCACTGATGTGTCAATATTATTTTTGTTCTAGCTTTAGAGCTACAGTGAAAAATAGTCAGTGCTATAATCTTTTTGTTAAATGTTTTTGAAACATCTTTTGTTTAACACACATCCTCCAGTGAATTTTTATTAGGAGGGCCTCATGGGTACACAATTCTCCAAATTCCTTCATGTTTTAAATTATGTCTCAATACAAACATAATGTTTGCACATCTTCACGAGGTGTACAATGGTAACTTATATACAATGTGTAATAATCACATCAGGGTACTCCAAATTTCCATCTCTTCAAACATTAATCACTTTTATGTACTAGGAATTTATATCCTTTTTTCATTCATTTTATATCATGAATTGTTCTAACCTATAGCGCTCTCAGTATGCTAAAGAACCAGAAATGATTCCTCACTCTGTTTCAGGGACCCTTATTGAGTTTCTTTCCCACCTCTCTCCCCAATGCCCTTCCCAATCTTTAGTGGCCACTACTTCATTCAATTATTTTATAAGGTTGACCTATTAGTTTCCACAAATTGGAGAATGAATATGTAGTATTTCTTTCCATGCCTAGTTTATTCCACCTTACATAGTGAACCCCAGTTATATCCATGTTGCTGCAAATCACAGGATGTAATTCTTGCTGTGGCTGAATAGAATTCCATTTGTGTATGTGTGGTGGCACCTTTTCTTTATCCATTCATCTACTGATGGACATCTGGGTTTATTTCATATTTAACTATTGTGAATAGTGCTACAATAATCACGGGAGTGCAAATATCTTTTAGGTACAATGATTTCATCTCCTTTAAGTGTATAGCAAATAATGAAATTGATGGATCATAAAGTAATTCTATTTCTAGTTTTTGAGGACTCCCTTACTCTTTTCCATGAAGGTTGAACTAATTTACATTCCCACCAACAGAGTGAAATAGTCCCCCTATTTTTCCATATCCTTGCTAGAATTTGGTGTTTTCGTTTGTTTTTTGTTGATAGCCACCGAATTGTGTTTAAGAGAATACTAACATCCTTGGCCCACATTTTCTTTCCTCCAGTATTGTACAGATGCCATTCTTCTTTTGACAGATCTGATACTAATCTGATTTTACTTCTTTGTTAATGATGCTCCTTTTGCCTTGAGGTACAGATAACTTATTTCTTTATCTTTTGAGTTACAGAAGTGATGAAGTGACTATTTAGGATTAACTCATCCAGAAACAGGGAAGTGACCTTCAAATATGTAGAGGTGGTTGTTTTTTTTTTTTATTTCTGAAACTTTTTCCTAATTTGCAAGTTTGAACATTATATTTAATTGATATTTTCTCTAGAAATGCAATAATACATATGTTGGATTTTTTGTCTATTGTAATTTCCTTCTATAGTCCACTTTCTTTGTTTAAAGTACAGTATCTAACATTTTGGAGGTAGGTGGTCTCTTTTCAATTCTACCTTCTAAGCCTCTTGCTGCACTTTTTGCTTTATTTATTCTTTGTTGGGCAGCTTGAGAGGTGGTCTTTACTTTTGACATAGCTTTTATATTTCCTTCAATTTCTCGCCTCAGTTTTCAATTCCCATTTAACTTATTCCCGTTTTTATCTACTTTTACTCCAAATTCTCTAATTTATATTTTTGATCTCTCTTGTTTGCATTTCCTTTGTTATTTTAAATTCATGTTAATGTTATATTCTAGTATTCTTGTGTTTCATGACTAGATATTTAGAATTTTTCTAAGTTTTCAACAATAGCAAAGATATAGCTATTGATCAACAGCATAAATATCAGAATTTTTTTCTTCTTTTTCACACTGGTTTTTCCTGGTCCTGCAATAGCTAAAGTTCTATGCAGTGAGTGGCAGTGGGCCCTTTGTAGGCACCCCATATTTCTCAGGTCAGGGGCTTCCTCTTATGCTCTTAGAGTGAGGTGAAGCTTCTTTTATAACTAGTACCTTTTCTTTGTCGTATTCATTATTATCCTATTTTATTACAACCCTTGTCTTTACAGCCTTCATTTTTTTCCTTTGACACCAAAAATTCTTCTATCTTGCAAAACACCTCCCTCTCTATAAGTGGTTGGTGCCTTCCAAAGACCTTTAGTTCTCATTCCATGCACCCTCCAGCACTTTTTCAGCTACACATTCATGAGTGCTCTGACCTGCCAAGTTTTGGGTCTTTTCTTGGTATTTTCCACTCAAGATGGGACCTTTCCTTCTGGAACCAAATCCTAGCTGTATGTTCTATAGCCTTATGACCTCTCTACAATTCCCTCTCTTCTAAAAGATCCTTGCCTGAATCTTAACTCCACTCTGAGCTACAGTTCTACCTTTCCTAGCCTTTGGAATCCTAGTTTTCTGTCCACTCTAAACCCTCCAGGTGGGGACTCTAATGTTGATCTTTAGGGTTTTGTAGGAAGACAGTATCTGTACATTCTAAATTATGCAGCCACCATTTTCCTGCCTTTTTTAAAAACATTTTTTTCTAGTGCTTCTTTGTGCTTAAACGAAGTTCTATGAGTATCTGTACAAATTAAGGATCAAATTGATACCATGAGTAACTAAATTACATTGTATTTGAGGGAATTTTGGTGTATTTGAATATTTAATGGGCTTATCAAATAATTACAACAGAGATATAATATTTAAGAGCTTGGATCAAGAAAACTTCTCCACAAATACAGCTGTGAACCCTTTACCCTACTGCATCATTCCCACAGGTGAATATAGTATGTGCTTCAAGTTGTACTTCGAAGTCCTGTTACTTAAGAGCTAGTATTAGTTGCACTGAAAACATGAATGAAAGGGGCTATATCAGCTTGGCTCTCCAAGAGTGAGATTCTGTTTTTTCTATCCCTTAGCAGGCTGTGATAGCACTTCCTGGTTTATGCTTACCCAATAATAAGCCCATTTTTTATTCTCTTCTTTGTGGAGAGAGTTTCTGGGTTTGGAGATTTTTTTTAAAAAAATTCTAATCCCTAACAACTAAAATATTGACAGTCTTTTATTCCACAGAAATTGACTATGTCCCTAAAAATTTACCCAGCTTTCCTAGATTGTGAGTTTTACTCAAAGTTAAGGCATTTTGGCTCATTGCACAAAGCATAATAGGTACTTTTCAAAATACAATTATTCTATTGTTTAAACCCCACCTAATCAGCTCCCTTATTAGAACTGATCTCAGTTGCTGTTTCAACACTTGTCATCGAATGATTCCTCGAGTTTGAGTATCTTCTGCTTTGCCTGGTTTCTGTCTTTGGTATATTATAAATATCAATTCCTCCTACTCAGAAATAAAGTTCTGTGAGATTTAGTGTCTTTGTCTATTCCTTTCTGGAGCACCTAGTACCTACACAACAAATATTTCTTGATGTATGTCTGATATTCTACAGTTTGACATTGTGCAAATTACAATGACTAAACTCCCCAGAAATTTGTCTTGGACAAAATATTAAGAAACCACATTTCCTCTGTCTGAATTTACGCTGATATTGCTTTTTGCCTACCTGATGTTCCAGAAGTGTTGTCACCAGCAGTAGTGGAGATTATATTTTTTCCTCCTGTTGTTACTATTAGAAAAAAAAATGGTACTTAGAAAAGTCCACATGGGCTTCCCAGAATTAGCAAATAAAAATATAGACCACCCAGTTAAAAGCAAACCTCAGATAAACAAACCACCATGTTCCAAATATTGCATGGAACATATTTATGATGAAAAATTATTCCTTATTAGGTGAAATTCAAATTTAACTGATATCCAGTTTTGTTTTAACACTGGGAATCAAAACTAGGGCATCCAGCTTGCTAAGCACATAATTTACTACTGAACCACATGCTCACCCTGTATTTTTTTCTGCCAACCCTAATCTATATAGATGTTTTTGATAAATTGCTCTTGGAAGAAATTTCAGACGTTTTCATTTTAAGGGGGACTCCAGGATTTAACTCTCTATGGTCATCTATTCTAAATTATAGACATGTTTAAATTTGCTTCAATATATGAGAAGTTGGGGTCCCAATTAAACTCACAATATACCGTGACTAAACTGACAAGAGGGCCTAGGTGTGCCCTGCTGCGTTCCAAGATGAGCTAGAGCTAGATGCTCTGCAGTGAGGCCACTGCAGTTTCCAGTGGCATTTCCAAAAGACTCACGTATGACACCTGATAATAACACTGTTGGAACAACACACACATTATTGAGATAACTCAGCACTGTAGCGTATGTGAAGGGGAGATGTGGAGGAATCAGAAAATTTCTTAATAACATTAGTCACTTATATACCATTCTACATCTTTTATTGGATCTCATCTGAGAATAAATATCAAGTGAAATCAGCAGGTTTCTGTTGAAAGTATCTTTTTCTGCAAAAGCTATGGCCTCTGAGTGGCATCCACTACTCCCCTGAGTGCAGGTAGCCTCTCTTCATTACTTGAGGCTCTCTGGTTGTTTTAATAACTAATGCTCCAGTGCTCTCTTTCAAAGTGAAAAATGAATGTATCATGCTCTTTGATTAAGGGGAATAAATTATACTATTTTCTGCTTTCAAAATATCTTAACACATATTTGTTTAGAATTTGTCATTTCAGGTTCAGTCTTTATAAATGCTGATCTTAAGAATCCTATATGATTCTTAGAATCTCTGAGTATTTATTTACTTTTGTTCATTAATAGGATTATTTATCATCTACTTGTGTAATATTCACATATTTGAAGCTAGGCTAACCCAGCTAAGAGTAAAGCAACATTCACACCAAACTGCATGTGCAAGACCAATGGTGAGGCTTAAAAAATTATGTATGCTTAGGAGCTTCTTCCAGGGGACAGATTTGATGGATCTGTGAAGGACTCTTCAACAGTTATATTTAAAAATTCTCTCACTTCTCCTTTGCAGCTAGGATTGAAAACCAAAACCCCATGTTACACTCACACTCTCAGAAGTTAAAGGACAGAAGTTCTGGAACCAGTCTAGTTGTCCAGTAACAGATTAATAAAGAAAATGTAATCTGAATGAAGTTTTATTCAGCTATAAAGAAGAATGAAATGTCATTTTCAGGGAAATGAATGGATCTTGAGAGCATTATGTCAAGTGAAATAAGACTCAGAAATTCAAGGGTTTTATGTCTCCTCTCATATGTAAAAGCTAGAAAGGAAAAAGGAGGGGGAAAGGTTGTGAAGTCAGAAAGGAGACCAGTCGAGTAGACGGGAGGCGGGAGGAGGGGATGGGAAGAAACTGAGGAGTGAAATTAACCAAACTATATTATGTGCATGTACAAGTATGTCATAATTTATCCCACTATCATGTGTAATTACAATGAAATAACAATTGGAAAAAAAGAGGTTTAAAGGGATTGCTGAAATCATTATAGCCATAAACATACTCAGAGGGCTAGTATGAATTATACATGATTATAGATACACCTTCTAATCAAGCTTTCCCATTGCTATCTGTAAATAGTCAGGAATGGATTCTCCTACTCTAATCTTAAACTAGTCCAACATTTCTTTACCACATTCCAAATAAATGGAAAGAGGATAGACAAAATATTCCATTTGCCCTCTCACACTCATGGATTTCTCCCTTTACCTTACCTAATTTGCTGCTAGCAGTTGTTGTGACTGGTCCAACTGAGGTCCCATGGCCAGAAGTAA